TTTATTCTGTATCAATAAAAATATATAGATCAACCAATGGCATATAAAATGTATCATTTAATTTGTTGTATCTCGACATAAGTCGATGTCCAAACGGACTTATATTTTGCACGATGTTATATTATATAAAATTTTAAATAAAGAGTAGTTTAGGTGTAGTCGTATAGTATATTATAATATTAATCATTTTGTTTTTGACCAAAATATTTTTTATCCGTTCCATTTTCTCTCGGTCAATAGCTTATTGTTATTTTAACTTTTGGTGGATAAACATTAGACACCAAATAGGCAGGTTGTAGATACACTAAATTTGTCTAATAATCAAATCTTCTGTGCCCTTGGCTGCTAAAAGCAATACATCGCGTGAAAAAAATTAGTTTCACAATCTCCAATATTGTATAAAATATATCTACAGCTGTCTACTGTTAATAAAATCGACTTTTTCGACCCTGGAACTACATTRCTCTTACGATCGACTTAAACGGATAGATTAGTCCATTTGGTATATAAATTTTAGGATAATACTGTTTCATGTAAAACAAACGTTAATCTATATTTTTAAACATATAATGAGAATGAGAATATGCTTGTCGATTTACCTTCACCCGYGTGCTTTACCTATATCCGCAATGGCTTTATCTGAGTACTATAATAATATATTATACGATGGATAGTCGACAGATATAAATAAAACATTTCCGTTTAAGCGATTCTTTTTGAACGATGGAAATAAAAGTATAGGAGTAAAAACCCGACGAATATATTATTCGTATCGAAAACACGAAATCCAAGTCTGTTGTATTGCATAATGTAAATTTTTTTTTATCGCCGATGGCAGCTGTAATATTAATTTATTGGCCAAGGGATCAAATAATCGTTCTTTTTCATGTAATTCATAATTCTCTCGTATACATATATAGGTARTTTAATGTGACTTCCAAATATTAAGTTCACCTCCTATACACAACTTTACTACACTACAGTCTACAGGGTCCAATTATTATTATTTTTATTATTATTACATGATCTATTTTTGCATTACTATATTTTATCGTTAAACTCGAATATTTCTGTGATATAAAAAATAGTATCATTCGGTACTCCGTAGTACAACGTTTCGAACAATCATTCATYGCACTGACAAAAACATAATAATACATTTCTATAAAAAAATTCCCGTTAAAATAATATCGTTATGGTTTTTTGGACGTTTATTAATACTATATCATCCGTGACCTACGACCACGGGTACAATTGGTTTATACCCGAAGTCTGTTATTGTAGGTATCTACTTTTTTACTRAGGCATTTTATTATAATGCAATGCAATAAGACACCCAATCGACATTTCAACGTTATATTATATTTCACCCACAAATTATATATATGCATTGATAACATTGTACATTTTACATATTATATATATATATATACGTATCTTACTTGATTTTATAATATAATATTATAGTATAGGTCTTATAATAATATATTATCATTATGCATTGTGTATTATACATTTATACCTCTAAGTATTATTTATTTGCAACATTGTATTGTTTATATGTGATTTTTTTAATCTTCCTCATTCTTTTTGATAATTTATTTCATATTTTATTACATCGCTGTACGGTGTATTTTGTATAAATATTACAATAATATGTAATATATGATAATAATTATATTAAAAATATAATATATATTATATGTGTAATAAATTTGATGTATTTATTATTATATTTTTATATGTATCAATATAGGTTTCAAAATAAATACTGATACGTAAGATTAATATTCATTAATAAGATTGCTCGTAGAATAGAATGCATAATAAGTGAACCATAAAACTAACTACAGCTAATTCTCTAAAAATAAAACGTTGCTATTTTTTAAACATATAGTAAAATCACAAAACTAGAATAAGAAAAATATACTTAATTATTTGCTCGAGGCATTAACTAATGACGTTAAAATTGAAATTATAGGCTCTAATGGAATCCTAAATAAATTACCATAAATTACGATCTGGATTTTGCTGCTAAAAACAGAAAAATACGCAATCATAATCTTGTATCTACTATTTTTTAAGTTACAAATTGTAACTTACAATACTACAAATAAATTGATAAAAAGAGTGTTTTGTATCAATTATTGTAGCAACCAAACATGAAAAATAAATTGGTTATATTGCGGTATTTTATTCATGACTGTTAATATTGTTTTTTTTATGTTATCATGCTGTGATGATTCGTGTAAATACCTACTTGGCA